GGGCTTAGGGTTTAGGGTTTAAGGTGTTTGGGGTTTAGGGCTTAGGGTTGAAGGTTTAGGGTTTAGGGCTTAGGGTTTAGGGCTTAGGGTTTGGGGTTTAGGGCTTAGGTTATGTTGGGTTTAGGGTTTAGGGTTTAGGTTTATTGTAGACCCATGATTAATAAACCCCCTCCTTGTAAGGGCCTGATAGGGGTTGGTACTATAGGGGTTGTTGGTAGTATAGGGGAAATATAGGGATTATATAAGGATAATGGAAAAGAGATGGAAACTACTCTAGAGTCTAGGGCTTAGGGTTTAGGGTTTAAGGTTTATAGGGTTTAGGGCTTGGAGTTTCAGGTTTAGGCCTTAGGGTTTAGGGCTTGGAATTTAGGGCTTAGGGATAAGCGTTTAGGATTTAGGGTTCCGGGCTGCACATTCAGAATTTGGGCTCTTGGCCTTAGGATTTAGGTTTAGGGGCTCGTGGCTTGGGATCTAGGGCTTGAAGACAAGGGGTGCAGGATTCAGAAGGGGTCTGGGACATGTCGCGTAGTGCACAAGAATCATCATTCAAAGGACCCGCAGAAGTTGTTGAGTGAACCATGACACAAGGCTACAAGTACTAAGTATAAGGAAATCTAAGGACCATGTAGCCAAAATCCTCAACTCTAAACCCTAGAGATCTGTAGGTAATCTAAGGATTGTGCAAGGTTACTCTTTCCAGCACACTGCATTCCCAAACCAAAGCCATCACACGTGTATCCTAGAATCGGAATCCTGGAGTGCTACAGCTATTTGCGCTTAGAAAAGCCCCTGGGAAAGAACCCGGACTCGAAAGGATTCATCGAGCTCTTCGGAGCCTAGGGGCAAGTCGACGAGCTGATCTGGCAGGCTGTCTTTGGCTGCTATAAGCTTCTGCTGGAGGTCCTGCGCTTGGTTTCGTGTACATATAGGCTCCACAGAGGTACCACATCTTTTGGCGTAAGTGGGTATGTGAACGGGGCGTTTCGGGGTTCGGACTCGATTCCAGGTTTCTGGCTGCGAGTGTTGAACTACGCCCCACAGCTTAAAGAAGGATATTTAGCAATTCTGATGGGGTCCTGCTTCAGCTCTAAGTTTTATGTTGGATTTAAGAGTTGATATGCTTACAACTTCGTATTGTAGAGTTCAGGCTGCGGGGTTAGGGTCGTGGGGTCTGGGACCTGCGGTTTCGGAGGTTGGCGTTTACTTACTGGTTCTCAGTAGGAAATATGTGAATACATCATATGAATTATACAGGGGTTCTTATTCCGTAATATTCCGTTATTCCCTACTACAAACCCGTAAGTTTAGGGTTTTGGGGGTTGAGGCTTAAGCTTCCGGCTCCGCTAAAACCTCCTTCGGCCTTCTTACTTTTGTTCTGCCAACTGTTGCTTCTAAGTCTAAATACAGGCCTATGGACATGTCAGGGCCACACAGGGCTTCATCAGAAACATCAGTTATGCATGCTATGGGATTTGCGCGCCTTGAACAACTGCCACCCTACGAGGCGTACAGAGGGGAGCAATCTTGCCAAGAACTGGCTTGGATATGTGGACCGATTTCTGCACCGTGACAGTAGTAAAGATCTTAGCTCCAGAAAATTGGCGGGGACATGCTGCAATAATGGAGAAGAACGCCAAACCACAATCGACGTGAGGGAGACTGGAGACTGCAGGCGATATGAGAGGCCAAGCCAAGGAGGTCATTGGCTCTAACTGCTTTGACTAAATCTCATACATTATTAGTACTCTCATTATTACTATTACTCATGGTATTGTTCTTACTATTATTGCTAGTATTGAATCCTGCGCAACTTGACACCCAAGTACGCCATCCCATCCTCAACCCTCAGCTCCTAATGTGCTGGGGTCACGAAATCCCGAGCACGAAGTGCTTACAACTGGAAATTCCAATAGCTTATCTTTGGTTAGCTGTGAATGAAGGAATGGAAAAGGAAATGGAAACCACTATAACGGGTTATATAGGGACTGCCATTCCTCCATTCCTAGCTAACCAAAGGCCAGATAGTGCAGATCATGCAATCAAAGCCATGTACCTTCATTCGTAGGCCATGTTCTAAACCCTAAACCCGAAAACCTTCTGGTGGTAGGTCTGGAGAATCAGGGCACAGCTGCTTGCGGAGATAGCTTGAGGCCAGCCGAGTATCAGAAACACCTACAAGAATATGAGAGGACCCTAATATAATCCTTATTATCCCTTATAGTCACCATTACCTCCAATGTAGTTCCTTTTTGGGTTTGGTATGGTTTTTGGGTTAGGACTCTTATTAGGACTACCAAAAAGGTACTACATTGGAGGTCTAGGTACAAAATAAACCCACACTCCATGATCCACATGATCCCCGAAAGAGGTGCGCAATTGATTCTTGATACCACCACGAATACCATGTACAATGAACGAAGGTCCCTTGAGGAAAAAATCCGTTACAACCAGCTTTAATCATGCAATCGATCCCCTTTCGATAAAATGTGGTTTCTCAAACCCCAAAACCCTGCGAACCTAAACCCTACCCCCCCAAACCCTAAACCCTACACCCTGACACCCCAAAAAACTGTTCCGCTAGCATCCCAAAATCTTGAGAAGGTCTCAGATCCCCTTCAAAACCCTGAAATCTACCCCTGTAAACCCCGAACCCTAAACCCAAAGTCCTAAACTCCAAAGAGTAAAGTTCTAGTCCCCCTGAGGTAGATAGAATATATGGCTTTGGGTATAGTAGAATAAGATCCCCATATACCCCATATTCTATCTACTTAAGGGGGACTATAACCCTTACATAATGCCTTTGGGTATAGTAGAATAAGGGCCACATATACCCCGTATCTTATCTACTTAAGGGGGACTATGACCCTCAAAGCACTTTTGCAACTCAACAGTTTCCTTTGGCAGGTCTTCCTTGTACCTGGGCAGCGGGGCTTCGGAAAGTGCCCTAGGGATCCAAATAGCTAGGATTTAGGGTTTAGGATCCAAATATCTAGGGTCTAGGGTTTAGGATCCAAATAGCTTGATAAGTGGACTGTGTATGGACTCTATTTGGGCCCGCACTCGGTATCATGATAGACGTGGATCCCCAGGGTGGGGGGTTGATGCTGGGCTTGGGGTCTTTTGGGGTTTGAGGGTTTAAGCCCTAAACCCTGAAGCCTGTTGAGGGTGTGGGGGTTCAGAGTTGAAACCAGGATGCCCAGGTCTCTAGCTCTTAGGATTGAAACCTTTCTGTTTTACATGGGGTATAAGGTGCTTTATGGCACGCGCTCCCTGCCTGTGCACAACAACTCCTGCCATGGCTTAGGGCCTAGCCCTCCTGAATTTATGTCCTCATTTTTTTTCCCGGTGGGTTTAGGGTTTAGGCACATGGTCTTCATGAGTTTCCCTGGGGTCGCCATCATAGCCTCAAGCTGAGACGCCCAAAGCCCAATTACTAAGACCACCGTGAAATATCTCTTCAGCTCAAGGTTCAGGATTATCTTCCGAGTCTCATGTGTATACCTATATCTTGTTACATAGGGTTTAGAGTTTCGGGGTTTAGGTTTTAGGGGCTTAGGGTTATCATCATATGGATATGTTCTGTACTGACTCTTACCCGCGGTAAAGGACACTATTGATATCTCTATGAACTTTAAGTATCGATGCTGAGTCAACTGGCCCCTTAACACTTCTGACCAAATTGCCGTATCCCTTCATCCCATCCCCATCCCATGAGTCCCACCTACCTGTACCCCCCTAAAGTTTGTAGAGCTATGACCTTGCTGATAGAACCCCTTTTTGGCCAGGGTCCCTCTTTAAGGAAATGTATTTGCAACGGGCGCTTCTTTACAAGGACCTTCAGAACCACCCCCAAATGAGCTGTAGTCTAAACTCCCATAATCCCCCTGGATAACCCCTATAATGTCTATAATGCTACACTATATAGTTCCCTATATAGTCCCCTATATAGCCCCCCTTAAGGAGTGTAGACAATAGCCCAAATGATCCTCATTTTGGCCCGGCGACTTCGGATCGATGCTGTCCAACGGATCCTCCGGCTTAGCTTTGGCTTTCGACAGGTCTTCGGGTTTCGGAATCAAGGTTGAAGGCTTATGGGGTTTAGGGTTTAGGGTTTAGGGTTTAAGGTTTAGGGTTTAGGGTTCAGGGTTTAAGGTTTAGGGTTTAGGGTTTAGGGTTGAAAGGCGTAATGACTCTTGTCCCTTTCAGGAACCTTGTTGGGCCTGCATACTGGGTCCGGAAAGGTATCCTATAACCTATGCAGCCTATACCCTGTACATCCCTGTGCTCCCCCGACATGATAGCTATAAGAACCCCTACAGGTCTTCTATGCTGGGCGGGTATGAAAGGCTTCCATCATGTGGATTCTAACTTGTGTGGGCCACGTGGGATCCTAAAACCCTGAACCCTAAACCCTGAACTTTAAAACCCTAAACCCTAAAACCCTAAACCCTAAACCGGCAATCAAGGGCTCTTTGGAGGGACTAGAAGGAAGCCCTCATCCAAGCACCTTGTAGAACTTCCCTTAAATAGTAGGCTAGGGTTTAGGGTTTACGGCACCTTGTAAAACTTAGCCCATAAATCGTCCTAAATGCCCTTATTACAGATTAAGCTCCCTAAGCTACGTGGGTCCACGATAAGGGTCCCGCCTAAAGCCCCCAGATACTATCTGAGCTCTCCACTGAAGATCGTAATGCCATGAAGCTTAGGGTCTGGGACTCAAGCTCCCCGACTGTTAAATGCCTTGCAGCCCCCCACTTCCATAAGCGCAGAGTCCTGGGCGCATTTGAAAGTATGCTTACATACTGCAACCTCTTACCAAAAGCCATAACAAACCAAGACAGGAACCAGGGTAGACCCCACCAAAAGTCATAACAAACCAAGACAGGAACCAGAGTGGACCCCCAGATCCTCAAGCCCCCCGTCCTTGTTCACTACCTGCTTCAGGATGCGAACGTAGTTATCGACATGCTGAAGTCGGACGTCAGCACAGGCCGCAGAGCCCATGAAGTTCTCTGGACCTTAGGGGTAAGGGTTAGGGTCTAGGGTTTAGGGTTTAGGGTTAGGTTTAGGGTTAGGGTTTAGGGTTTAGGGGTAAGGGTTAAGTATGATACTAAGATTCCTGCATGACCCTAACAGACAGTGAGACCCTACTTCCAACGGTTTAAGGCACTAAGAAATTTGCAGGATAGAGGATATCCAACATGAACTGTAGCAACTGATGGAGGAAGGAAATTGAAGATGAAAGCTACTACATTGGCAGCTAAGGGTAGAAGGCGTAGGATGTATTTTGCGCTGCGTGTTGCTTAGAGTTAGGGATTCTGGGGCATAAGGGTTGTGAGCATCACTGTGCTAGCAGGGTAGGGTCATGTAAGGCATTCCAGGAAGTTGCAGGGACCTAATGTAGACCCATGATTAATAAACCCCCTCCCCTTAATAGGGATTATAGCAAGGATCCTAATATTCAGGCCCTTAAAAGGAGGGGGTGTATTAATCATGGGTCTACATTATAGAGCTTGAAGCCTAATTCTGGCAATTTCTTCAAGGTTTACACGTTCCCTTAGGATGTGTTGGAATTCTTGAGTTGGCGGAGGAGGAGCGCAACTGGTTAGGTGCTGGCCTGTGAGTTGTACTTAGCGTGGCCGTAGGCTTTGAATTTCGGAAGTTTCGAACAATTGGGAGCGCTCACCCCTTTCTGGTTAGCCAGGCTGACGTCCTAGCCATTACATGGTCATCCCACGTCGACTACCCGCACATGTGGCCATGACCCATCATTGGATCTTGTAGAGCAATGTAGAGGCCGGAATAGTGGAAACTTGTCCCTGAATGATCCTCAGCTCTTGTGATTCTATCTCAGCCCCTGCATAATTATTCACGCCCTGCATCACCGAAGCAAGCAGTCCTGCGTTATTAGCCAGACTCCTGCACCGGTTGTCCAAAATCGTAGTCGGCTGGCCTTCCCTGAACATGCCTATTTATTTTGCCCCCGAAAACTGTTCCTGAGCGCGTTGTGACTATCCTGGTCTTGCAAGGGTCTTTTCTAAGAACAGGACCTTGCAAGCCTCAAGACTTCATATACATTGGCCCAAATCTATCAGGCCAGTGCTCCAAACTTCTGAACCCTAAACCCTAAACGGGTGAAGTGTAGCTCACACCTTGGGGCCCCACTCTCGGCCAGCACTGACCGCATATAGTCTGCTAGCAACATTTCGCCTGCACAAATTTGCATGAATTAGGGGGAGGGGGGGGGGCGGGGCTGTTCTACAGGTCCTTGTGAAGAAGGGACCATTGGCAATACACTGCGTTAAAGGGGGGTCCTAAGCAAAGAGGGACGCCGACAATATGGCAATTTTGGGGATAGGTATTCTGAACAACTACCATGTGTGTTTTCCCGGTTCTAAGCTGTCTCGGACAGTTCGAGGGATGGGATGGATGCTGCCCGGGCAATAGTTTTGCGACCGCCCCGCCCATGGAGACTTGGTAGCACATACTTGACAAAAGCAACGTACGGAATCTGTGAGCAGTTGTCTTGCGTCCAACGCTTTAAATGATTCCTTTCGGGCTGTGCACGCGCCTCAGCACTGTTCTTTCTGGGACTTCACGCTACGCTTGCAGACTGATAATGTTGATTCGCGATTAGCGCCCGGGCGCTTAAACAAGTAGTGAAGTTTTCCAGAGGGCTACTGAATACTTCTAGGCTTGTTTGGGGTCCAATGAGGTAAAGTTCCCGGAGTCTGAAGTCTTCAAAAAATCTAGAGGAGATGTTTCGTGACATCTACATTTGCTTTGACTCAAAAGCTTATGAGAGACTCTGAGTCTCAGAACTTGCCTGAAGACATACCTCTACCATGATCGCTCCGATCGGGTCTTTCACTCATGTGAGCCATAGTCTAAAAAAACTCCTAGTATCCCCCTTAATATCCCCTATAGTAGTCCCCTATATAACCCCCTATATAACCCCCTTTAAGGAGTTTAGACTATAGCTCATGTGAATAGGAACTGTCATCCCAGGCCATATGTCCAACTCCTCGAGCCCTACACCTTGACTTCTCTGTATCACTTAGCACATACCCCGAACTCATGAGCTCCCGCGAACAGGGGGGACCTCCCCCCCAAGTCCTAAACCCTAAACCCTAAATAGTAGTTTCCATTTCATTGTGCTATTATCCCAAAATACTCCCAATATAACCTATTACCCCCAACCCCCAAATCTTGTCTTGCCTGACTTCTCATATTATTTTCCATTATCCCAATATAACACCAATACAACCTATTACCCAGAACCCCAAATCCTGCCTGACTTCTCGGTTTCCTAAACCCTAAACCCTAAACCCTATAAACCCCCAAATCTTGCCTGACTTCTCAGTTCCCTAAACCCTAAACCCCTAAACCCTAAACACCTATAAACCCTGAACCCTTAAACCCCTAAACCCTAAACTCCTATAAACCCTAAACCCCTAAACCCCTAAACGCCGTTCTTAAAACTACCTTTGATTGGGATAGGCTGGTTACAAAAATCCCCAAATTCAATATGCCCATGGACTTAGCAAAGCTTACATCCTTGCATGCCGCCTTGCAAATCGCAGTGCCAGATTGTAGTGAAGCTGGGAGGTTTCAATCCGCCATTCAAGATTGCGATGTTGAAGCTGCATATGGGGTGTTCGTTCAAGAGTTTGAGGGGCAGGTCAGTAGGATTCACGATCAAGTTGTAGGGTCCCCAGTTCCCAAGAAATTTTTAGGCAAACTGAACATCAAAATTTGCATGACCATGCCTTTTGCCACTACCATTCAAACATGTCAGGGCTTCATCACTGATAGAAAAGCAGTGAACGCGCGTCTCACTGCTGTGGCCCGCTTGCGCCAATTGCAGTTTCTTGTCAGCCGAGACATTAATCACGATGAGTGTCGCAACCTTTGGTTTAAGCTTGTAAACAACAAGTGTTTCCCGGGTGGGTTCCCAAAATGGTTACTTGATAGTGGGTTGTGTGATGCCGTGCCCGCAAGTGTTCCTGGCCAGCAATGGCTTGAAAATGTTGTGCAAGGCGTGAATACAGAAGTACAGCACTGGCAAGCTACCATTGCGCGAGAACAGCGTCACATGGCCCAACAGCGTTTTGCGTCAGATTGGAAGCACGGTGGTGCCTTGCATGCCAGTTGTGTTAAACACTTGTCCCCCCCAAGCGTTGATTCTTTGTTGCGCGATTCCCGCGTGTCCGTGAAACCCTTGCGCGTTGTGAAAGGCAAGCCTGCCGCATTCCGCGTGGATGACCCTTCCCATGTACAACCGGGTGTCTCTTGGGCTTTTGGAAAAATTTATGCCGTAGTTAATAGGGTTGAGGGTGATGTGGTTTATCTAGACCGCCCCATGTGCACGCAAATGTTCAAAAAGTCCGTTGTGCAACAAACACCTTGCACAGACCCTAATTTTTTGTACCAACAGTTCCGCAACTACTGGGATGGTTTTTGGAATGTTAACAAGGCGGTTGATTGGGACGAAGTAGCCAAAATCGCGGAGTCGATGCCCATCATCCAGCCTTTTGACCCTACCGTTTGGCCTGAAGACGTAACAAAGGCCATTAAGAAACTTGAAGCTCATAAGGCTCGGGGTCTAGACGGGTGGAGTAATTCAGAGCTCAAAAGTCTTTCTCCTCATCAGGTTTCCATGTTGGCGGATTTGTTCAACACCGTTTTGGCCACCGGCCAGTGGCCCTCGCATCTCTCATCCGCCTTTGTTTCCCTGTTTGCAAAGGTCCCGCAGCCAAAAGGACCCAAAGATGCAAGGCCTATTACGGTTTTACCTTCACTGTATAGATAGATTATTTGGTAAGATTATGACTGAAAAGATCTTTGCAAATTGGGAGGGTGTTCTCCCCGACACACTTTTCGGAAGCGTACCCGGTAAGTGTTCTATGGATGCAGCTTGGGAACTAGCTTCGGCCATTGAAGAGTCATTAGCTGGGGGTGAAGATGTTTTTGGGGTCTCTTTGGACCTTTCAAAAGCTTACAATACCCTAAATCGAGACGTCGTAAGTTTTTTGGCTGCTCGGGCCGGTTGGCCCGAATCCCTGATCCGCGCGTTCCGAGGTTACATGGATAATTTTGATAGGTATTTCAAAATTCATGGGGGTTTTTATGGGCCTGTTAAGAGTAAGGTTGGCGTTGCAGAGGGCTGTCCGCTAGCGGTGCCGGCTATGATTCTTGTAACGCGGGCCGTTACAAATTTTGTGGCCGAGCCGCACGCCAGCATGGTGTCATATGTTGACAATTGGTCCTTGCAAGCAAAAACATCTGGGGAGATAAGTGATGCACTTGGAAAAGTTACGCATGCTACGGAGATTCTGCATTTGATCCTTAATCCGGACAAATCGCGCGCGTATGCAACTACAACAAAAAGTCGGAAATCCTTGAAATCCCTCCTTTGCCAAGGACGCCCTCTGAATGTTGTGTTGAAAGTTGATGATTTGGGAGTGGATTTTAATGCCGGCAGGCAAAATATTGCAGCATCCGTTCTATCTAGATTTGACGACAGCTTGCCCAAACTGCTTCGGTTGCGTGGCATGCCTTGGTCCGCGCATCGCAAATCAGAGGTTCTTTTGCGGACTGTCCATCCCGGAGTCAGTTTTGGTTGCGAACTTGCGTCCGTAAGTTGGACCACTTTCAACACTCTGCGCCGCAAATACTCATCCTCTGTGTGGGGAAAGCACAACCAGCGCAACCACTTCATGTCCCCTCTCCTTGCTGGCAGTGTGGTCTTCGAACCATTCCTTCTTATATTGCAACGAAGAATTGCTGCGCTGCAGAGAGCATTTGCCAAAACTCCAGACTTGGTACGGTCCAGGTGGAATATGGTTTTAGGCTCTGCAGTGAGTACTTCCGGTCCCTTTACTTATCTGATTGACCAACTACGGTTGTTAGGTTGGAACCCCATGCCGAATTTGCACGTCGCGCGAGGTACTTGCCCTGTCATCAGCCTGGTGGAGTTTCCCAACGAACATCTCGATAAAGCA